TATAGCTATTTGTGCTATGTTATAATGCTTATTACTTAAACAAGAATAATAATGAATACATTTTTTTTAAACATTAAAGTATATTTAATCACATCTCCCTAATAGCTGTCGTGATCTGTAAAAACAAAGAAGACTTGAATTCCTATATTATAGCAATCTTCCAATATGGCAGTGAATGTTGGACAATTTCCTTGCAGATGAAGAGGAGACTTAAATCAATAGAGAGGTTGTTCTACTGTGCGCTGTTGAAAGCACAATGTTAAGGCTATTTAATAACTACTGGTTTAGTTTTAAGCTTATATTTTCAGGTAATATTATGTCTTAGAGAATAAAAATAGTTGTAAAAAAAAAAATTCAAATGAATTTTGGAATCTTAAAAAAAAAATGTGTTGTCAGTCATAAAATATATTTCCTAAAACCTTCACTAAATTGAAAATTTCATTCTGTACATCAAATAATTTAAATGAGAAATTCTAAATTCAAATGATTTTCCAAATCTACAAAATTTTGAATTTTGTAGGTTCTTAAAGGTTAATGTTTTTGTTTTTGGAGAGAAAGAATTCTGGAAGTTATTTGGGTCATATCGATTTGCTTTTATATAAAAAAATTCAATGTCCTTGTTGAACTTGATACATTATACACACAAGAAATTATGCAAGAGACTCTGATTAATGATCGGATTCATATGCTTCACAATTTACATACATAACAAGAAAATACCAAACTTTCTCTCTCTTTTTTTTCTTTTCTTTCACTCTTTTTTTCTTTTCTTTCACTCTTTTTTTCTTTTCTGTCACTCTTTTTTTCTTTTCTTTCACTCTTTTTTTTCTTTTCTTTCACTTTTTTTCTTTTCTTTCACTCTTTTTTTCTTTTCTTTCACTCTTTTTTTCTTTTCTTTCACTCTTTTTTTCTTTTCTTTCACTTTCTTCTTCTCCATCTTTCCTCTCTTTCTTCTTCTCCATCTTTCCTCTCTTTCTTCTTCTCCATCTTTCCTCTCTTTCTTCTTCTCCATCTTTCCTCTCTTTCTTCTTCTCCATCTTTCCTCTCTTTCTTCTTCTCATTCCTTTGTCTCTCACCTCTCTTCTCTCCTCTATTATCTACATGTTGAGCCTATTCTCTTTTTCTTTTTCTAATTGCACAATTTGATTCATATATAACATTTAGTTTCTTTCTGACCTCAGCTGAATGTAGCTACCAACTGCATCTATTATGTTCATTGGTTTATACCAAATAATGTATCACTGATGGCTTCACATTAATCTTTCACCTAACGTACAGAATTTATGATCATGTTTTCTATAATTTACAACCTGACTTTCTAACATCTCTGAGTGTGCGTTTTATATATATATATATATATATATATATATGTGTGTGTGTGTTTGTTTATATGTGCTTTTTTGTCTCTGTGTGTGTGTGTATGCTTTTTATATATATATATATATATATATATAAACCTAGTGAGCCAGTCTGGCTCACTAGGTTTATCTAGGTCTGCTCTATGGTTATATTGAGCTCTTTTGTTAGTTAGTTGTTTACTCGTATTGGGGTTTTTTCCTTTGGGCTTCAAACCTGTATCTGTGTGATGTTTTTCAACAGACTTTCAGGTTTCTAGCTCTTTCTTTTTTTAAAACATTTTTTCCCTCAAGATTGATTTGATTATTGGCAAATCAAAAATTTGAGGGTTTTTCAAAACGAGTATAGTTATCTATATTTGTATTTATATATATATAATCAAATATGTGGTGCAGTTTTATTTATATTACAATGACTCATTCATACAAAGAGTAAATTTGTTAAGTTAATGATATAAAATGGCGAAATCCCTTCGCTAACTAAATTTTATGATGCATTAACCCACTTACCACTTGATGAATGTTATGATCCTTGTTATTTAAAATTATAAACTGTATTAGGTCTTCTTTAAATATGCAAGTACTTTCGTCAGGTCATCCTCAGGCATGGAAACTATTTTCTTTTTGGTAAAATTCAGGTACCATCCGAGATGAAAAAATATAATGCAAATGGAAATATGTCTTTGTTGAAATGTGTTATTGATAATAGATACAAACTTGTGGAGCATGCAGTCACAATGCTAAGGTTGAAAGTTTTTTAAATTTTCAGAATAACAACCGAGACATTACTTATTGAATTATTTACTTCATGCCACGTTGACTGATAAACTCCTACAACAAAAAAAATTCTTAAATTGCCATATTAGTAAAAAAACACACTCAGCTAAATTTTCAAAAATTCACCTTTAGCATTGCGATTTCATGAATATTGTTACATTCATATCTTGAGACTGAAAGGTGTTTTTTTTTCTTAAAAACTTTGTCTGAAGAGATAAATATAACAATATTCATGGAATAAATTATAACAGAGCATTTACTTAAATACTTGTATCTATAAAAAGAACGTTAAACATAAAAATGTCGGACTTTGTCCATTTCTTTATATATATATATATATATATATATAGAGAGAGAGAGAGAGAAGTTGAGGCTAAAATTTTCTATGTCTATGATGTGTTATAAATGTAGTGAAATGTATCAGGGGCTAAATATGATAAAATATAGTTTTAAGGTATATTTATGGGTTAAAGGATAGAGACATGGCCTGATGATTGCATTTAGCATGAAACAAACTGCCTCTAGGTGTTGATTTTAATGTCGACTTTTATATTTACATATGCACTATCTCTGATATTGAGCACTTTAACCCATAAATAGAGCATACCTTAAAAACCATATATATATATATATATATATATATATATATATATATATATCAATCCGGGCTTGTGGCATTCGATTGTCTAGTCAGACTGAGGAGCTGTGATACAACAAAACAGTACTGTCTGCGAATGACACATATATATATATAAACAAGAAGGCTTACACTCCACACCATTCATCTATTGTGAGACATCTACAACAACATTCTTGTCCACATTCACAATATAAAAAATTACTAATCAACAACACAACTATCCTACACCATGAAAACATCAAATCTAGTTTACAGATACTAGAAGCAATTTATATTAAAAGAATTAAAGCTGGTACTGAATAGAATCAACTATAAATACTGTAGTAATATTCTGAAATGCCTGTAAAGGAACAGTTTTTTCACGCCTTAATGCATGCGTGACCATGACATTATAACATAGAAGAAAAAAAATTCCATAATGGATAACTGTTGTCAACCGTTTTGCATTTAAAAGCATAATGAAAAAATTACGGTAATGGATAACAATGCACATCTTTATATAAATACCTACACTAATGAACAACAAATAGTTTTGTACCACTTACACCCCTGAAGATGATTTTGGAAAAAGATCAAAAGTACTTGGGAAATGAAAATAAAAGAAATTTAAACAGCTATAGCACATATCTCTCATACTTTAACATCAATACACGGAAGGTTATTTGTGAGTATGAACGGATTTTACTAAAAAGTAGCAGACATAATGTCTGTAATTTATTCAATCAGACATGTCTAAAAGAGAATTTGCTGCCTAAATACACAAATTTTAAAATATATATATATATATATATATATATATATACACACACACATGCATACATACTATGATGATTAAACCAGAAACTAAACCCCCTGTAAATATTTAGCAATGATATGATAGAGGGTTTTGCTGGTTGATAAGACATGGTAGAATATAATGGAGTACTGAGATAGAAACATGCATTTGTGAACTGGTTGCAACACTAAACAAGTGGTAATATATACGTCTGCCCATACTGAAATTACACTGTCTGTATTGTGTATCGGTTTTGAAAGTACCCAATTCTCTTGATCCACTGAAGTAGGGTAGGAAGTCACCGCCCTAGAAACTTTGCCTTACAGGATGGGCGTATGTGTGGGTCATGAGAAATTTGGTTGATCTGGTCACAGTTTTATTCCAGGCTGACAATTCCCAGGCTTAGGCTCGTTCCATTTTTCAGTAGCAGCTGTAATGAGAAAACGACAGAAGAGAAACCCTTACACAAGAACACAAACAAATGCATTTGATTTTTGACCTCAATGCGCTTCTAGATTTCATTCTTTTTCTGTATATACATATGCATTATATATATATATATATATATATATATATATATATATATATATACACACACACACACACACATACTCACACTGGGTGTACTTGGGTAGCAATTATTTTTTATGCATGTTTGATTAAAAATAAGTGTAAGTTCCATGTTGAGTTTTTTTTATTTATTTGTTCAATATTTTTAATAACACTTTGGGATTTTCATCTGGTATTGGTAAATAAAATTTCCTTTATCTGATTGGCTGGTTGATTTTGTTTAGCAGCACATCAACCTCTATGGGTTATTTAATTCCAAAACCTAAATATTTTGTACTCAGTTTTATTTTAGTTTTGGAGATGATAATGGTTTAGTAATAAAAATCTTACTAATTGACCCATAGCTGGGGAAGGAAAAGGTGGATTCAGACCTTTCTTAAGGGTATTTGTGTGTAAGTGAATATAACGAACCTGACTGGAATTGGAACTTCTACTCTACGGTTTCCAATTCTGGGCTGTTATCTATTACACCATCCATACATACCTCCAAGCTTACAAGCACCTGGTATGCCCAAGCAGACATCAATCTCGGTATTAACTACTGAACAAGCTCAGCATTGCTTAATTTCGTATTAGAACTGGTGTTTTGAACGTGATATGGACCTTAAGTTTTAATACACTGAAATGTCAGTTCCTAAAGTTTGTTTTCTAAACTAACCAACACTTAATCGTTTGTTCTTTTCTTATTGACTTTTTACATACAGAAATATATTTTCTTTACTGACTAAGCCTGGTTTTCCCATGATCAACAGCACACAGTAAGAGTCACATTCACTTAACTAATCAATTGCTCTTATTTGTTAACTTTTTATTTATGATAGATACCAGCTCAGGCTGGTGGTGACTAATTTTACTGGAGACTCTTGAATTTTTTTTTTTCCTAATGTTTTACTCTGTTTCCCTCTGTAACAATTGTAACGGAATGTTAATTTGTTTATTGCTTTCAGGATAATCTGACACTTTCATACAGCAAGTGTTTTTAAAGTTAACTTGAGAAAACAACAGATGATAACTTCTTACTGATAAAGGGGCTTAACACAGTAATAAATCCACTCAATGTTTGGTGTATATATATATATATATATATTAGTATCTGATATGTTTGAAAGCACACAAAATCTTATAATTTTCCCTTTCCATTCTTTGCAGATATTTGTAATATTGACATCAGTTTTGAGAAGTTTTCTTTTAATTTTGGTCTCAGTGTGTTTTTTCTTCTTCTGTTTATGTGCCAAGTCCTTTTTAGAATGTGTGGGATGATGGCCCTTCACAACTTTTTGTTGTTTCAATTAATTTTTAACTCTTTACTGTTCTTCTTTCTCTGTTCTGCCATTAATTCACACAAACTTGTTAAGTTAGCTATTTGTCCCCTGCTTCTTTTTCTGTATTGTCACTTGAGTGTTAAATTCACCAAGCCTCTTTTCCTTATTACGTTTCCCAGAAATTTCATCTCTCTTATAGTAAGTTGCCTTTCTTTTTTCTTTTTTCTTTTTTTTTTTTTTTTTGCTATTTTTCCTAAGTCTTCCTCATTTCTCACATGCTCTGTTCTGTTTTTAGTATATTGGACATTAAAAAAAATAACTGCAACTCCTTAAATAGCTTTTGGCTTTTTGTTAATACTTTAACTACTGCATTCTTCTATCACTGTTTACTAGGAATAAAATGACTATGAAGACATTGACAGTAATTCTTAATGAGTCCTGCCATTTGTGCTTTGATTGAATACACTGCAATACAGACTAATTCCAAATAACAATACCAACTAGGACTAGCACATACTACTCCCTGATCCCCTTTGTTCTGATTGAGTGCCTTGTGCAATACTTTGTGACCCTCCCTACATTTATATACATTACAAATTAAACCAAGCACAATTGACTATTAAAGGATGAAAAATTCTTGTAGATTTTGGCATCAATCAGCGGTCTTTTTTTATTTATTTTTTATTTTTTTGTCTAAATCCTTGAATTTGTTTTATTCATGTTAAGTCTCAAAAAAGAAAATAAAACACTATATAAAATCCATGGGTTTTCTTATCCATAATGTTGAATGTGTTAAAATTATTCAATTTTTTAACAAGAAAAATATCTAGTTGATGTTAAAAATTGCAACAAAACATTGTTGATTTATTTAAGATGGAATGATCTATTATGACATGTCTCTAATTTGTATTTAGATACATTGTATCTATTTTCAATTTTTCTAGTTGAATTGTTCATTTATATTGCATATGGTGCATTATTGTGGAGGCCCTGAGACACTTGCACTAGCCCTGACCCCAACACACAATATAACAAAAAATTTGTCCAAAAACAAATCGTATTTTATACTACTTCTCCAAAGGATTTTTTATCCAATGAAGAATTGTAAATTTCTGTTTTCTTAAAAAACAAAAACATTATAAAAATAAAGATACAGTGTAACCCGGATATAAGAGAGTTGTCGGGACCGGAGAAGAAGTCTCTTATATCCGGGTTTCTCTTATATCCGGGTTTGATCTATTTTGTTTAGGTAAGTATGGGAACACTTTGGGACCAGATAAAATCTCTCTTATATCCGGGTTACACTGTAATTTATTGTTTCTTTTTATTTGTTGTTTAAAAAATTATTGATTTTATTTCTTGATTTAAATCAAGCATTTTTTTTTTTTCCTCTCTTTTAGATGGACAGTTCCCTATTGACACAGAATCTGTTAAAAATGACCATGATTTCTTGGATGATGATTCCTTCCAAGCTCTCTGCAGGCAAGTTCCTTGATTTCATATTTGAATCTATTTTCATTGTCTTGTTCTTTAAGAAGAGTCATTCACATTCTGAAAATTGTTCAGACATTTGGTGTTCTTTGTATAGCTGCTGTTATTAGTGCAGCATTCTAGCAAAGCCTGTTTTTAGTTCTCATCCTATGTAATCTTTTTGCATTTCACCCCAAGCAAGGCAATAAAGCCACTAAGACTCAAGGGGTTACTGAGTGTTAGAGAATATGAGAAAATATACTATTAAGGAGAGAAGACAATAAAAAACCATGAAGACAGAAGATAATGAGTGACATTGCATTTAAATTTTTGAAGATCAAAGTTGATTGGGAAGCGAGAAGTTGGAAGAGAGTTCCACAAGCGAGAAGTGCGATAGAAGAAACTGTTAGCATAGAATAGTTACGTTCAGCCATTTCAACTGTAAAATGGTGAGACCTTGTTGCCAGTCTAATACTGCGCTTAAATTCGTGAAGTCTAGGTACCATGGAGGAATGTTCATCAGAACAATTATCATATTTATAGAATATATTATTTATAGAAAAGTCACAGGGAAGTTATGTGGTGATGGTGGGAAAGTGACTGAAATTGGAATACCAGGTCAGGACCAATAACATTGCAGATTCTTCTTTGGATTTTATCAAGAATCTGTAAATATGTAGCAAAAGCATCAGACCAGATGTGGCAGCAATATTCAATGTCTGGATTAATGGTAAACTTATAAATATTATAAGATAGATTCTGTCAAGGAAAAAAAAAAAGTTTCTCAACAGAATATATATAAGCGGCTTCCATTTAACAAGAACTTGAGATTGTTTCAGACAACGTTGTATATGCTGCTTCATAGAACAATCTATTGTTGTACATGTTGTTTGATAAGACAGTTTATTAGAAAAAGCTCAGGTGAATAAAATTGCGGAGGAATGTAAAAAGGGATTAAATAATAAAAAATATAACTCTAATTTCACATCTGGATCATTGCATTAAGCAAGCTTAAATTGTAAAATATCATATATATATATAGTTGCAGTCACCAAATCATGGATGTTAAATTTGCATATCATTATTTTTTGTGTGTGTGTGTGTATATATATATATATATATATATATATATATATATATATATATAGATATATATATAGATATAGATTTTCTTCTATCAGTCAGGTTTACAAGAAGATATTCCTGTGTGTGCCTGCACCCAGTTATCAAGGAAATTTAAAACATTTCTCCATCAATAGAATGGCAATAATAGCTGTTTCCTTATAAGAAAATATTTGGCATTAATTGACTGAGCAGCCAGTACTGATGTCACTTGAAATTTATAAAATCTTTCTCTTAATTTTTCAGGAAAATCGGTTTCTCACATCCTGTAGCTGTTATTTTTCTTTCCAGTACTGATGGCAGTTTCCTTCCTAACTTTTTATTTGAAGTTGTTTGGAATGCCAACATTTTAAGTCGTTGATGCAGAGAAATGATGCACAGTTTGTCACAAAGTTAGATTGTCACTTGATAGCAACAGTCTACCAGGTTCAAAGATGGTCCTCTCTAAGATCTGCTGGTTTTATTTACTTGAAGCCACTTTTAACCACTGATCTTAGACGACAGTTGTATACAGTTTAGATATTTCTGAATGGGTTTGATGACATCCATGACTTTCATATGAAAGTCACAATCTGACAAATATTTAAGAACATGACTAGTTTTTAAGTTAATGATTTAGTCTTGTAGCAACGTATGTTGTGTGGAACTACTCCATCCCAGTTTTTTTTTTTTTTTTAAAGCAATTCACCCCAAGCAAGGTGATAATACCACTAAGATGTAAGGGGCTACCAGAAGAGAAAGGAGAGAACTTGGAAGGAACCAGAAACTCAATAATATAAGTTTAATCATTTAACTTTACTGTAGAGGACTTAAAAATTTCTCTGTGGTAAATTTACATCCCAAATCATACAACATATCTCCCGTCCACACAAAACTATTGCTGATACAATCAATGTAAGATAATTTTTTTTTAAATGTCTATAAAAGCATAAATAAAGGTTAAAGCAATAAAAAGATAAATTAGACAAACTAAATTAAATATCAAGATACAGCAAGTGTCAAAAGTGAAATTTATTGCTTGGTATCTTCAATGTTTTGAACATAGATATATAAAACTGGTTCCTTTAATCAAATAGTTGTTAGTCTGTAGAAGTTCATTCTCGAAACGAAACATGTCACTAAGTATTTTTCTCCCATTTTGTTATTCACTTATCAAATATTTGTTTGATATATAGGCAAATGAGAATGTGTGACAAAGTAGAAAAATATTCTGATTAATGTTTTATCCTTTAGGACTTCATCATATATATATATATATATATATATATATAGGGTTTGTTGTCAAGATTTTGAATTCTCATATACTTGTATTTTCATTGGTCATTGCAGCTTATGCAACAGCATTTCCCCTATTGAGGGCTGTTTGGTCAATTTGAACCTTTTAAAACCCTTTATTCTACATTCAACACCATCACTTGATAAGACACTAGAAGTATTGAAACAAAATGGGTATTTTTGTAGTGATTTTATAACATATTTATGTTATAATTTTCAAATTATATATACATATATATGATGTCACATATTATGAAATGGAAAAAGTCCAACAATTATCTTAATATATATATATATGTGTGTGTGTGTGTGTGTGTATGTATGTATATATATATATATATATATATATATATATATATATATATATATAAAAAAACAGACCACTTTAAGGTTCCATGTAATAAATTATTTCACCACAGCTCTTTTAAAGGGCTCTGGATCATCAGACTCTACTTCCAAAGGTTGAAATGGAAAAAGAAAAGAAATTTACACATTTTTGATGGGCATGATTAAGCATATGTGAATTGAGGAAGTGAGGGGGCATCAGAGTGCCCAGTTGAAGGAGTATGCATGGCGGAAAATGCAATATATGAGGCAACAATTTTCCCCAACGAGAATGTTGAGGAGAAAAGGATATACATAGGAATATCGGCGGGAAATTGGAAACACCGACACGGAATTTACATTGAGCTCTCTGGATATCATCCACCTTAGGTCTACCCATACGGATTACCTAGTTTTGCATAAACTATATATATATATATATATATATATATATATATATATATATATATATATGAGGTTTGTTAAGATTTTGAATTCTCATATACTTGTACTTTGATTGGTCATTGCAGCTTATGCAACAGCATTTCGCCTATTGAGGGCTGTTTGGTCAATTTGAACCTTTTAAAACCCGTTATTCTACATTCAACACCATCACTTGATAAGACACTAGAAGTATTGAAACAAAATGGGTATTTTTGTAGTGATTTTATAACATATTTATGTTATAATTTTCAAATTATATATACATATATATGACGTTACAGATTATGAAATGGAAAAAGTCCGACAATTCTCTTTATATATATATATATATATATATATATATATATATATATATATATATATACACACACACACACACACACACATTGGACTCTCCTATCACTTACAATGTATGAGGTTCAAGCAGCTCAGTTCTTAGAACCAACAGTCAGACTACCCACATATATCATTCGATTATAGTGGTGAAGGCTCGTGCAAAATCAACCACACTTTTTGAAAGAGCCAAATACAGATAACTGGTGAGAAGTATGCCACAAGGTCTCCAAATGACTTTCTGCAGGTTTTGGATTCAGAGTTGTCCTTCTCCTTGACTGTACACCACCAAAGGCAATGGGAACCACTCTGTCCTACTATTTACCAATAATTTGGACTTGGCTAACCAGACAATTCTCTATGCCTGAGTGTTGTAGCATGTCAGATCAATTGACAGTTCCACATAGGACACTGATTCAATTCCTACTGGACAATACATATTTTCTACAAAATTTCTTGAACATTCATGACCGTAAATGTAATTAATACTGATTACTTAAAAAATGGAGTATTTTCTTAAATAAATTTTATCTATTAAAAATAACCTATAAACTCTGTGTGTGTATATGTGTGAAAATATTTAGAAAATAGGAAAGAACTCGTTAGGTAAATAATCCAAAGTTCTTTAGTATTTTTGTTATTATTTTTAAAAAATAGTGCTCAATACAAAAGTAGAGCATAAATATAATTATTTAAAATATGATTCCAACACGCTACATAAAAACATGAGACCTCTTATGTAGCGTGTTGGAATCATATTTTTAAATAAATTATATATATATATATATATATATATATATATATATATATATATATATATATATATTTTTCTGGAAAAATAAGGATATAAATGAAACATAAATGTAAAAAGACAGTATTAATAAAGATAAAGGAAAATTTTCTTTTACTGCCGAGAGTTCAATCTCCTAAGGGTCTTCATCAGTATAACTGTGGCAAAATAAAATCCTTACATTTAACCTGATTAAGTACCTAAGTGTTGAAATATGTCAGCAAAGAAAAGTTTTCCCTTTTGTCGTTATTCATATATATATATATATATATATATACACACACACTTTCATATTGACCTTATCAAGCTTTTTTGCCATCTACATTAGGTGTTGAGCACTTAACTGAGTAGGCAGGTGTTTGCCTTTAGGATTTTTTTTTCTTATTGCTGTCCTTGTTTAAGATTTTATCTTGCTTAACTATATGTAGGTTTTTTGGCAAGTTGTCTGTTGGTTGGTACCATCAATGGTTTTTCGTTTATATATATATATATATATATATATATATATATCCTCACTGGTAGCACAACTTGAAGTTTCATGCACAATGCAATCTTCAGGTGGTGTTAAGACTGACCATTATATAATTCAAATTTTGTTAAATATATCAGGTTATTGCAATATCTTATACATGAATTGTTTTTTTTTAAATTTTGTTTTTAAAATAAACTTTACTGAAAAAAAGAAAGTACCTGCACATCCACACAAATTATTTTTAGTTCAAGTTATAAAAGTAGAGAAAAAATATAAATATAATTATTCACATCTAAATATTTATAAAAAAAATCATATGTATATTTAATAATATATAGTTTATGCCTTTTGTTATATTGCATCAAGCACTATTTTAATAATACCAGCACTCAATGTGTGTGATATATATAAAGTCAGTTAGCTAATCATTTGATACCAGCTAATTTTCTTCTTTTTCTCTTTTTTTTTCTTCTTTTAAGATAGATATTTTAAAGTTTAATGAATATTTGAAAAGCCAACTGTCAAGGCAATACTTGGTATTATTTTTCCGAGGCTACAAAATTAATGATGGAAAATAATTAAAAATCTGACCATTTTTTAATATATTTTATTCTTTCAGGAGACTTCATATCCTAAACAAATGCTGTAAGGTGCAAATAGAAACTCCAAGAAAAACAGTAAGTAGCAAAACAGTCTTTTTCTGATGGCAAAATCAAAGACTCAAATGTGTATCCATGTTTGTTGCCGCCTTCCCCCATTATGTATCTCTCTCCATCTCTCTCTTTGTCGATTCCCCTCCCACCTCCCTCTTTGTCGATTCCCCTCCCACCTCCCTCTTTGCCGATTCCCCTCCCACCTCTCTCTTTGTCCATTCCCCTCCCACCACCCTCTTTGTCCATTCCCCCTCCCACCTCCCTCTTAAACAGGCACGGTCACCACAGAATTAATTTTATGTTTTGGAAACTTCACTTTTAGGCTTTTCAAAGCATAATTTTTGTTGAGATTTTTTGTGAGAATGAATTATTACAATACACTCTTTCCATGGAAAGTGCTCAGACAAACTACATTCCTTTGTTCCACCAGTTCTAACCTTTCACAGCTAAGACCTGCCATACCACACCCATTATAGTGAACTGCTCTCATTCCCTTCATATTGTATTGGTTTAGATGTAAATTCCACTTGTGCAGCTTCTTCCCATGAACTGCTATTTTGTGGAACTGACTCCCAAGAGGATCCATCTCCACTACAATCTTAACCAATTCATTTCTAGGGTTAACCTTTATCTTGCCCACATATCTGCACAAACTGTGCCTCTTACTCTTTAACCCCCTTAACCAAGTGGCTCTTGGGCCTTGTATTGGGTGAACATTGTAAAAAAAAAAAATGCTTTGCTCTTCAGGCTAGCATTCTCATCTTGGTCATCATACTTATAATGTTTCAACTATTTGATGCATTCGGTCATCTTGTGTGAAGGTGAAAATTCAACAAATGCACACATGTCTGTACTCTAGGTGTAACAGTCAGAAACTGACAGGGCCTGGCTGGCAGAAAAATTTTCCTGCATTCCAGGAAGGATGGAATCACCTACTGCCCAAATGATTTTGCTCACATGGCATAAATTTTGGCAGAGAAATAATAAAGTCAGATACTTTTTGAATGCACCTTGTATATTTCAGATTTAATTGCTTATTTTATGCAGATTATAAAAAACATTACACATCTTCAAAGCCAAACAGTCTTTCTCCAAAATGTTTAATGTATAAGTAGATGATGAAAATTTCTTGCTACAGCCGAGAAAAGATTCAAAAAGAAAATAAAGATCTGCTTTATAGAAGTGTCAGGCTGATAATTTTTCAGCACCTCCCTGCATATAAACAACACTGAGATGAAGAAAAAGCCAGTGAGCATTTTGAAATTCAGTTTTCTCTAATTCTCCTCTGCTTTAGTTTCTCTTTCTGATTTTTTTTCTTGACCTTTGCTAACAATGTTCGTTGTTTAATACACATTTGCCTCATCATGTGCATGTGCGCCTGATGATAAATAAGTGAGTTCATTTCTTGACTAAGGCGTGTCCTTTTGAACTTTTTTTTTGTGGTCAGACAGTATTTCCTGCCTGAGTTAGCATCCGAAATTTGTGGCATCAGCCACATGTGCTGGGAACAAAAATACCTTTCTCTAATCTGAGATTCATCTTGTAAATATCTTTTAGCCATCTTGAGTAACTCTGATCTTTTTCCATAGGTCATTAGTAGGCGGCCCTCCAATCTGCAATGCCAACTGAAAAATCTAAATTGTTATTTTGTAGTTCCATATCTTGACAACACATTGTTCTAGATTTCTCTATTTTTTTGTCTGACATTTCTCGAATTCTGCCTGGAACGGATATATTTCATCAACTTGTGTATATAATAGCTGGCCCTGAGTATGCCTGTCTGCGAGGGCAGCTAACTAGTCCCTTCTGCAAATGCCTGCTCAGGCACATTTTTTCAACACCCACAGAGCCTTCCTGTAGCTTATAATGCAACTATGTTGAGCAGGCCTTAGAGTTTCTGGGAGACATGTCATCATCTGGCGTGATCAACTGACATCAAATGAAACTTATATATTCAACACTGAAATTGTTTCTGTCTTGTGGCTGGTGTGGTCTCCAAAATTTCTGTCTTGTGGCTGGTGTGGTCTCCAAAATTTCTGTCTTGTGGCTGGTGTGGTCTCCAAAATTTCTGTCTTGTGGCTGGTGTGGTCTCCAAAATTTCTGTCTTGTGGCTGGTGTGGTCTCCAAAATTTCTGTCTTGTGGCTGGTGTGGTCTCCAAAATTTCTGTCTTGTGGCTGGTGTGGTCTCCAAAATTCCTGTCTTGTGGCTGGTGTGGTCTCCAAAATTCCTGTCTTGTGGCTGGTGTGGTCTCCAAAATTCCTGTCTTGTGGCTGGTGTGGTCTCCAAAATTCCTGTCTTGTGGCTGGTGTGGTCTCCAAAATTCCTGTCTTGTGGCTGGTGTGGTCTCCAAAATTCCTGTCTTGTGGCTGGTGTGGTCTCCAAAATTTCCATGTTTATAGTTGTAGTAAGAAAAGTTTGTCAAACACTGATTTTAATAACATTTAAATGTACAATATCTCTATAACACTAAAGCTTTAATCTTGTATGGATGTATATTTGCTCAGGAGATACAACTTAAATGAAATATAATACGCCAACCAATTTCAGAGCATTTTATTTCTTGTGCCTTCAACCCCTGCCAAGTGCAATGCCAAATTTCAATAGAATTATAAAAGGGCTTCTTGACCTAGGACCATTTTTTTTCTGTTTTTACAACATTTTTAATAGCAAATTCAATATTTGTTTTCAATACACATTCTTTTATCAATCCATGTATATAAGCAAACACCTGCATATTATATTCCAACTATTATGTGTGCGAAAAATAATAAACATTCATAATACATTATAACAACATTATTAAATGAATTTAAATATAAATAATACAACATATTTATGCAATTTACTCTGCTACATTAGAACTTTTTTATAAACAAATATCTTAGATGTTTGGCAACTACTTGATAGGTGAAGAGGCTATGTGGGTGTGTCATTTGTAAATCATAATCTGTATGACTGGAAAATTACATCACATTACTTGATGATATATGACTAAATAGATACATGCTGATTTGCGGCTGTTATGTATTTTGAAATGAATGTTAGAAAGAAACAAGCATGTATAATAAAAAAATACTACTATTTCGAAAAAAATTAACTAGAAAAAATGAAACCAAGTATACAAAAAGGAGGCATCTATACTTTATTTCAATAAATATGAATCTCCTTTAATCAGATGATTGTTTTTTTTTTGTTTTGTTTTGTTTTATTTGGAATGACCATCACTTTTTGAAAATTATATGGCAAATACTAAAATTGGTATAAATTTTCACCTTGGGGATACGATCTCTTGAATGGAAAAGCCTTTAATGTGATATCGGCTTAAAATTCTATTCTCAAAAAAAAGTTAAATTTTTCCTACTTTTAAGGAGAATGTCTTCCCCTTCTGACAAATGTGGTGAATGTGCATAAGAAAGACACAAAAGAAGCTCTGAGTTATGTGCAAAAATATCTGTACAAAAACTAGTTATATCTGAGTTTCCCTGTTAGCAACAGAACATCTTGGTATGTCTAGTTATGGGCATCTCAAAATCCAGATCTGTCATCTGTCTCATGCCAATAAAAGAGATGAGAAAATTAGCAGTGTGCACTTGATGAGACTACATGTCCTATGAAGTTGCTCCATTGGATATTTTGTTCCCTTAAAGTTGCATGATGCCTACCATGCTGTGATTTCTGGGACAGTGTTATTTTGTTTTCACCTGTCTATTTCCATTCTTTGCCTGTCACCCCATAATTCTTGAGAGAGCAATTGGTTAGGTGTTCCACACATCCTTGTCATATTTTACAACAAATTCAGTGTTATTCATGGAATCAATATATGAATTGTTAAAAATATTAAATTTATTACAATGGTATCATATTAATAATTTTAATATGTTGAAAGTTTTGTCATTTTTTTCTTCTCTTGTTCTGTGTATCAAGGAATTGCATTTTTGCACAAATTTTGGAAACTCTTCTATTTATTAATTTATTGCATTTGATCTAATTAATATTATATAATGTGAGTAATAATAATTATTACAATAATTTGTATTGTAAATACAAATGAAAATATGTGTAATTAATGAAATTGATACTGTTACCTCATTTCGTATCATGAACTCTGTTTATAAGTGGTCGAGTTATATTTTAAAAGGCCTTTCTTATAATATTTTGTTTAACCCCTGTAACACTCACTATCCCATTTGAGGAGTGTGGGTATTAATCAGTAGAAACCTACAAGTAATACCTATAATTAATAATGTTTTTTACGTTTATAATTAATACTGGAGTTTGTGGCAGGCATTAATTAGTTTTTATCTTCTTTTGTTTTTTTTTTTTTTTTTTGATCAGTTACCTTTATTTATATATATATATATATATATATATATATATATATATATATATATAAGAGAGAGAGAGAGAGTGAGAGATATCAGTATGTGTGTATATAACAATAATAAAATTGTGTATCATTAAAGGAAAAAAGTCAACCACAGTATTTCTGGAAGAAAATGCTTTTAGAGTCATAGTTTTCAAGAAAGCATTAATAGATTAGATGAACAACTTACTCCTACTCAAAAGTTTTGCAGATATGATGCATCAGGGGGCTTTAGATTAAAATTGAATTTGTTTACAAAACTTAGAAATTTCTTTAAAAAAATTAAAAAAAATATATGATTTCTGTAAATTAATTCAATTTTACTATCAAGCCCCATGATGATTGGTCATCATATTTGCAAAACTATGAGTAGGGACAGATAATTTGTATCTTTTGGGATGAGCAGTTATCATTATCTGTGTGTAATATACACACACACACACACACACATATATATATATATATATATATATATATATATATATATTAAGATAATTGTTGGAATTTTTCCATTTCATAATATGTGACGTCATATATATGTATATATAATTTGAAAATTATAACATAAATATGTTATAAAATCACTACAAAAATACCTATTTTGTTTCAACACTTCTGGTGTCTTATCAAGTGATGGTGTTGAATGTAGAATAAAGGGTTTTAAAAGGTTCAAATTGACCAAACAGCCCTCAATAGGGGAAATGCTGTTGCATAAGCTGCAATGACCAATTAAAATAAAAGTATATGAGAATTCAAAATCTTAACAAACCTCATATATATATATATATATATATATATAGTTTATGCAAAACTAGGTAATCCGTATGGGTAAGACCCAAGGTGGATGATATCCAGAGAGCTCAATGTAAATTCAGTATTGGTGTTTCCAATTTCCCGCCGATATTCCTATGTATATCCTTTTCTCAACATTCTCTTTGGGGAAAATTGTTGCCTCATATATTGCATTTTCCGCCATGCATACTCCTTCAACTGGGCACTCTGATTCCCCCTCACTTCCTCAATTTACATATGCTTAATACGGCCCGTCAAAAATGTGTAAATTTCTTTTCATTTTTCATTTCAACCTTTGTAAGTAAAGTCTGATGATCCAGAGCCCTTTAAAAGGGTTGTGGTGAAATAATTTATTACATGGAACCTTAAAGTGGTCTGTTTTATTCATATATATATATATATATATATATATATATATATATATATATATATATATATATATATAAAACAAAAGACTGTTTTTGCAAAAATAAAAAAAATGTCCACTAGTGTATTTCTGGAGTTTTAAGGTAAATAGTCATTGTAATTAAAGTGCTCAATATTAAGAAACAAAGAATTAATAGTAAATTAAATAAAAAAAAATTATGAAACTTATCTTAACATTTTTGTATACAAATTCCTTTCTGTTACTGAAAAATTGAAGTTTTAGAGAAAATGGAAACAAAAAGGAAACTTATACTTAACATCAGGAAGAGACAGCTGAAATTTTTAGGAGACATAATGCGGAAAGAGGGCTTGGGAATTTGAAATGTAGGGTTTAAGAAAATACCAGGATGTAACTAGCATAAGTCTTGGCTAACATACCAACAGCATTAGTTCAGGATAATGACCGAGATTGTCAAGAATACTTGAGTAAAAACAATAAAAATAAACTTTGGACACTTCATACAAAATTTTGATCAAGATGTGCAATAATTTATTGGAAAAGTACAATAAAACGAATTAAACAGACATGGCCAGTTGAATTTAATAACACAACAAGCTACATAGTATTTATTTTGATTAACTAAGTTACTTAGAATGATTACTTCACTACATAAATAAATGTAAAACGTCTTTTTTTACAATGATGATTACAATGTCAAAGAGCCACTTGAGGTAGAAGCTTACAGAGTGAGAGGCAGTTTATTGTGGTTAAGTGGTTAAGATAGCAGTTAATCCTAGACTTGAACAGGTTATGATTGTGATGATTGGAGAAACATTGTCTTGGGAATTCTTTCCGCAAAGAATCAGTTTGTGAGAAGCTGCTCAAGTGGAACTTACATTTCACCAATGGAATATGAAGGAAATGAGAGTGATTCCCTACAATGGGCGTGGCATGGTGTGTCTTAGCCATAAAGTTCATCTGAGCACATTCCATAGAAATAGTGACAGAGCAACGAATAGCTTGTGATGTTTCATCTGTGAGAAAAGGGGTTGTAGATGGAAAATAATTTTTCACTCACAAGGCTGTAGAAATGCTTTTGGACTCTATCAAGCTTGGAAAGTGAAAACTGGATAGCAGTTAGCAATAATACAAGTGATAGTTGGCTATAAAAAGACACTTGATTATTTATAGCTAATTTGTTTAAATCAGGGGTGTTCAAACTTTTTCAAACAGAGCCAGATTTGATGAGGGCAAAGCAGTCTGCTTCATATTCTTTGAACCATTAAAATTAAATTCAAATGAACTATCTTATGTAAATTTTATTGCAAATAGTATATTTTCATTTCTTCACATGGATGACAAATAAATTTAAACAGGTTAAAATAACTGTTATATGAGAGGCCTATATAAGATGAATTAAAATATGTTTGAGAAAAAAAGGACTTTCTGGAAGTATAATGTATTTCGGGTTAATATTAAGCATATTATTGGTAATTAATGTTGTCTGTCAGCTTCTAAGTTAAAAACATATAAATAGAAACATAACACCAACATTAATTAAGAAATAGAAAACATAAAGTGTCACAAGTCCGAGTGTCCAAATGTATTTATTACTGATTTTGACCAACACAAAACAAATTCACTAAGATTTTAGAATTTATTTATCTCAGATGACCAGAACAAATAACTTGCCTGCACTAATGTGAAGGGTGATACTGGGATCTGGACTGCAGTACATAGGCCAGGTCTGGTTCAAAATTAGTGATTTTAGAAATTGGCTGGAAAAGGCCAAGGTCAGGTTCACACCGCCAGAGGGCAGCTGCAAAGTGCTGCTGCCATCTTTTGGTAAAACATGAAATTGTATTTCTTAGGCATGTACTTTACATACTCTGATTTAAATACTGTTGTGCCGTAAGTGATACATTCTATAACAGCGAATGAGGGCCATATGAAATTTAACCATGGGCCAGACTTTGGACATACCCATACCTGGTTTAAATAATACATTAACTATTGTTTGCATGACATGGCAATAATTTTAAGTAAAATGATGCACTAAAATAAGTAACCAAGTAATCGTTTTAAGTTCTCTGAATATCATTGCCATTTCATAAAACTTGTTTTAATATATGTATAATCTTAATGTTATACTTGCACTTTATTTTATTTTCAGGGTGATGATTCTGATGAAGATGAACAATGTGCTCTCAGTGATAAGTGGAAATACCAACGAAGCAGTCGTCGATGGTCCCGTATGGGTCTGCAAGTGGATCAACCCTGTGGTTCAAATCGTCCTTTCACTGTAAAAGGCAGTTCAAGCCATGACAGTCTGTTGACTGACCAAGACAATTACAGCCAGTTGGAAGATAGTCCAACCTTCTCCACAAATGACACAGCCCTTACGGAGTCTCTAGGGCAATCTGAGACGAACAGTAAGTCTAGTGTCACAGAAAGCCATACACCAAACATGCCAACTGCCGGCCATTCTTTCCTCAGCCCTAAACTATCTCGAGCAACCAGTTTCCGACCTGCTCGGAACTTACTTCGACGAATAGAAACACTAAGGAGCGGTGGGAGCTTACGCAATAAAAAGCCAATGGATTGCTTAATGATTAGTAGTCCAGTGATCACAGACACGGATAACATGAGAGAAAAAATCCGACATTTGAATTGCGTGGATCTTAATAATGGCCAAACAAACTCTCACGCACTCGTTTCACGGTCGAGATCTGCTGAGAATGCAATAAGGGCCAATTCTCCCGTTTCGTTAGACAACTCGACAGGCAGTGTAAATGAAGATAATTCTGAGTCGTACTTACTGCCATCAAGCACGGACAGCGTTTCAGATTACCGCGCAATTCCTACGAATAAGGTAAAGAACAATAGTACCAGTAACTTGACCGAAGTGTATCTCCTGCCTCCAGACTACAAGCCAGGTCAGTTCCCAAAAGTGATCAACAACGGTTATATCGAGACAGGGGAGGGGCACGGGATTAATTACAGAACGGGAAGTTTCAGTCTTGGGCGGGATGCAAAACGAAGGGACGCAGAATCGCGGCAGTGTGCAAATCTACGTGCAGAAAATTCAGTAAAGAGGGCCAGTATCTATGATAACGTGCCAACAGAGGAATCTCTGGAAGCTGACAGAAATGAACTGGATGAAATTCTTCAGAAACTCTATGACAATATCAATGGATTTACCCAAGCAGTTAGCACTGATGATTTTGCAGGTAAGTTTCTTTTCTTCATTGTCCATCTTCTCCAACCATTAAAAAGTATTTGTTTTTTATTTACCTTCTGACTATTATCCTCATCTTTGTTGTTATTAGCACATTATTTCAGCCATTATATAATACAATAATAATGATAATAAAATAATCAGCAGCTTGATGCCCTTCTTGGAGGACATTTCTAATTCTCACTGTCAGTGACACAGCAGAAAACATAATAAAAACATGCATCCCAGGTGCCATTTGTTTGGTGTTACCTGCTTGATTGTTTTTGTGTGTATTTCATCCTGGTTGTGTGAGTGTGTGTGTTTCATCCTGGTTTGTGCATTTTGCCCTGTGTGTGTGTGTGCGCGTTTTGCCCTGGTTCTGTGTGTGTGCGTGTGTTTCATCTGGGTTGTGTGTATGTGTGTGTGTGCATGTGCTTTGTACTGGTTGTGTGCGCGTGTGCTTTGTACTGGTTGTGTGCGCGTGTGCTTTGTACTGGCTGTGTGCGCGTGTGCTTTGTACTGGCTGTGTGCGTGCATGTTTTGTACTGGTTGTGTGTGTTTTTTCATCCAACATTTATATTACTTCAAACATTAATATTTTGGATGTTTAGTGTTTAGTATTAAAAATAAGAGACTCCATTTTCATTTATTAAACACTGTGTATTATGGCTATCACCCAGCACATTCAAGAAACCCTAGTAAAGAAAATGTGTTCTTCAGCAGTAATCAAACCTGCATCCTCCTTTGTAGGGAAAACCACCATTTGATCTAGTGTACTTTACTGCTCAACCACAAAGAGAATCTGCTTTCCTCAAAAAAGGGAAAATAGAACCATGTTTACTATGACATTCTTATGGTCAATGGGTAAAGAACACCGGATCAAAATGGTGGTTTCCCTTACAAAAGTGGATGCGGGTTCATTTCCTGCCGGAGCAAACATTTTCTTTACTAAGATTTCTCAAGTGCAATGGCAAAGCATATCGATAGATGATAGCTGTCATAGACACTGTTTAATAAATAAAAATAGGCGTCCTATTACAAATACAATGTGTCCACTATAATATATATATATATATATATATATATATATATATATATATATATATATATATAATTAATTCAAAATGTATTATAGTGGACACATTGTACTTGTAATATATATATATATATATATATATATATATATATATATATATATATATATATATATATAAGTATTTAGACAGCAATATTTATTAAATTCCACTGTCAACGTCTGTCTATTCAACTTTTTACTATATTCTCTCAAAGAAAAAATAAAAGATTACAATATCCAAGGATAACAGTGAAAAATACATGAACTGTGGGCATTTGGTTGATAGCTTCAATCCTTATGTAGAATTGGGAATTGGAATATCATAAAAATTTGAATAGACAGAATTGACAGTGGGATTTTATATATATATATATATATATATATATATATATATATATATATATATATATATAGTCCATCACAGACTGACTGTTTTGCTGTATCACAGTTTGGCTAGACGTCCGATTGTTTCAAGCCATGATCGCAACGCAACTGACTTGACATCAGTCAGATACCTTACCCCTAGGCCATCGTTGCACACCAGAAAGGAAGGGAATTTTAACGTTTTAAGTATGTAATAGCAGGAATAGAGAGTATGTAAATAAAATGTGAACATTGACGTCAACACCCAGAGGCAACAGTATGTTTCATGCTAAATTCATTCATCTGGCTGAAACAATTGCATTTAGCATAAAATGGCCTATCACCTCTGGGTGTTGAATTATTAATTTTTTTATATATATATATATATATATATATATATATAATAACATTTTTTCCTCACTGGTAGCATGACTTGAAGCTTCATGGCACAACACAATCTTTAGGGGCTGAGTTAAGACTAACCATAACATAAATTTTGTTAAATATATCTGGTTATCGTAATGATTATTATAACACCAGCATTCATTGTGTGATATTATATATATATATATATATATATATATATATTCAAACAAGTCGCCAGCTACTCTCATTTCCTAGGCACACAAGCAATGCCAGCCAATCTCTGTCATAGGCTCCTACTCAGGCACATTTGTGTTTATTCGATTCATAGACAACCTCTTGATGACTTGTAACTTCATGCTACCACAGCCATCAAAAGATGTTCCACCTACCTAATACACTCACTTGGCGTGGGTCAACTCATGTAGTGATTTTCAGACATTTTTCCAATTCCAAATGTGCTGTACACTGGGATCACCTCCTGAGACCAATAGCATCAAGAAGTCATCTTCTTGACTAACTGACCCTGATGAGATTCAGAACATTCTAACCTCTTTGCTGGCCAGGCCATGTGTGTGTACACACTCACACACCGTTTATGCATATTTGACTTGTGTTGTGCCTTATCTGATTAGTGTTTCCTTCCCACAGTAACCTGTGACTATTTTTTTTTTTGGCAGGCTCAAAGTGAGGGAAGGTGACATTCACATATTTAAAAATCTCCCCATCCTTCAATATAGGAAATTACTCCTTTTCTTTCTCTCTCTCCACCCTACCCCCAACTTGCCATGTATGTCCAAACCCCAGTCTGAAGAATTACTGAGAGTGTTGACACTTTGGTTTTATTAATCCAGTCAAGTGGGCTTCACTCCTGACAGCTGTGTGACTCTGAAGTAGATCTACTTTGTAGCATACACTCAACACCCTGTCATATATTGTCCAGTAAATACAAATGCTCAAATGACTACACTCTTTCATAACATAATATGCATTAAAAGGATACAGAATTGGGGCCAGTGGGGGAGACAGTTGAAGCTACTGGAACCTTCTTTGTTTTATATATTGTAACCTTTTTGCATATATTTCATATATTCTTGGTTTGGGATAAAAGAAACCTATTTCAGTAGGATTTTCCCTAAATTATAGTTTCTAATTATGGTTTTGAAATATGGATCATATTACTTTGAAACCTCTGGTTTTCATCTGATCAACAAAGTTAAGCAACATTGAACCTGGTCAGTTCTCAAATGTGTAACTACTGACCACTAAGGAATCCCAGGTGTTGTAATGCTATGCAACAGGCCTAGCAAGTTGCTAATGAGAATATAATCTGGCTACTTATACTAACAGAAGACCTCAGTACATGAATGTCCTTCTGGATTGACACGTCACTAGACCTACCTGTTGGTGGGTGAGGGAGGGGTGAGTGTATATATGGAGAAAAATGTTGTTTTCACATGTTGGATCTCAAGGTTTATTTCCCTTGTTATCCGAGAGTCCAAATATTATATCTTAATTTTGTTACAAGTGACTTTGTTTTTATATTATTTCGTATATAAGACAAGGATATCATAGGTAGTATTTATTATCCATGATCCACCTGTGTGTCATTCAGTACCAGAGTCTGTTTTACAACCCAGAGTCCTACATGACCAACACAAATGCATGGTACATCTCTTTGTATGTAAAAATAAAAAATGAACCAAAAACAGTTGAAATTCCAAGAGGAAAATGAAATAAAAGACAAAAAATCAAAAATATTTTAAGTTTTTTATAAAAAGAAACATGGTTCTGGTGTCCAGGGTCTTATAAGCAACTAGCAGTAGAGCCCGGCGTTGCCCAGGGATGTAACAGTAAGAGATAGATCAAGTATCGACCATCATAAAGACTGAAAAATAAAATTGACAAAGATTATTGTTTAAGATTGACGGACACGCATGTCTGAATTAGTTTTTTTTTTTTTTTTACGAATTGGTCAAACCCAAACTCAGACAAAAACATTGTTTTCAATCGTTATGAGTCTGCCAATTGAACAGAATTTTATTATAAACAATTGCCTTGTAAAGCATTCTGAATGTAAAAATAAAGAAAAAAGTGTGCAAGACAATAAGAAACACTACCTGCCAAAAAAAAGTGAAGTTTTGAAATCAATTGAAAAATGTAGGAAATCCGATCCCATATATAAACGAACACACACACACACACACACACATACGCACAAACAACCTGGGTTTTATAATAAGTATAACTCGATATGAGTTGTCCCCCTTTCATTCTCGTGACAGCAATGCCTCTTAATTGTGTTTTCAAATTGATTTTGTGCAAAAACAATTGTGTTTTCCAATTTTTGGCACTGTCAGAACCACCGCAAGGTAATTTTATGTAGTCCTGTGAAGTTTTGTTGAAATCAGTTGAAAAATGTAGGAAATCCGATCCAATATATAAACGTACAGACACACACACACACAACCTGGGTTTTATAATAAGTATGATCAATCATATTATCCCACTCCCAATAATCCTCATAGAAATGAAATTGGAAAACCACCTATGTGTTGGTCATTTAGGTTATGCAGACATACCACAACTACTTTCTGGTGGGTCGTGTGGGAGCCAGTATGTAAAACTGACACCTAGATGATATGGATTAAACTGATACCGCCTTTGTTTTCCATATTTTGCAACCATTTTGCTTAAAGTTCATATTTTTGTGATTTCAGATGAAAACTTGGAAATTTTTGATAATTATAGTTTGTAATTATAGTTTTGATGCAAAAATGAAGAAAACCCAAGTCTTATCTCAAAAAAAAGAATTTCCGTTCTCTGTGCTGTCCATTGGAAAAGCAAATCGAAATCAAGATCTCGACTTTGGTAGGCGTTGAAATATGGTAATTGTTTGTGCTTCTCGATCAATCACAACCTTTCTTATTGCAATAAAAGAACGCTACTTTTGGACCACAGGATTTCTTGGCTCTTTGTGATGGGGGAAAAGGTAGCTGTATGTTGCGACATGTGATGTGGATTTTTTTTTTTTTTACCCTTTTGATTTATGCCTCACTCCTAGCATTTTCTGATGTTGGGCTTGCAAGACTGAATTATGACCCTTGACCTCAGGCTTATGATTTTTTTTTATCTGAACCTCCTTATTGCTATTTACCTCTTGTTTAAACTGATACCAGAAGGATATAGGGTAAAAAGTAACCTAGACAGCA